ATATAGGGTCTCAGGGCATCTCCATCCTAGACTTCCTTGCTCACAGATCACCGTTGGTGACGGTAGAAAACAGCTCTGCCAAGCTTTCAGTCAACACAGGAGCCTCCCAAGGATGCCACTTCAACAACTATGATTGTACACCTTTGACTGTGCCTCTACTGAGAATAACAAGATCACCATAAAGTATGTAGATATGGTTATGGCACAGCCATCCTCAGCTGCATTATAGAAGAGGAAGAGTCATGGTACAGGGGACTGGCAAACAATATAACTTGCTATAGACAGGAGAATAATTCCTCTTCTTAACATACAGACGGCCAAAAAGCTGTCAAAATGGATCTTCATCTTAAAGAAGATAATTTTGTGAGAAAGACCGATAAATCCACCAGCAGCTGTACTGCTTTGTGCAAATGGCAATAAAGTCTATCTTAATCTTATCTAATTAAGACATAGAGAGTGTGTACATATTTCATTGCCTCTCTGTCTTCACTTTTCTAGTTGATGCTTTATATCGAAGTACATATCCAGAATACCTCCAGTACATATACCTGGTTGCTCCTGTATCCCTCATGCTCCTCAATCCCATCGGCTTTGCTCTTTGTGAGGTGCAGAGGTGGAGACAGGCCAGCCATCCACAGCGCAGTAGTCTTGGCATCCTGGGAGTTGTTGTCTTACAGGTACTAAGCATGCAGGTGTTTTGACAAGTGTATTAATACACCTGTATATCCTAAGGTTTACTTTATTTGCAAACTTTAATGACCCAATTTGTACATTTGTAACTGTTTCCCACTTTGACCTTTTGCACCAATTTTAGGTCTTGGAGTTTTAATTGTTATTATTTTTTTCACTCTAGGTGTTGAAGAACCCAATAGTGTTCATGGTGATAGTGGGAATCATTTCTCACTTTGCGCTGGGCCAGCAGATTCCTGCTGTGTTGTCAGAGTTTATAGATGGTCTGGCCAACTCTTTTGGAGGGGCAGCGTTGTTTTACCTTGGCCTCACTATGGTGAGTTGCACTCTTGTGTTTGTCTATCTTTTTTTCTTCTCCTAAGGATAACCTGTTTTACTTACCATGAAGGATATCATCAGCTGCCGTCTTATTTGGCAGGTTGGTCAGCTTAGAAAACTAACCAGAGACACTGGAGTTGCCTTGATATTGCTCATCACAGCCAAACTGTAAGTGACACCTGAAAGGAATAGTGTGAGCGTAATTGGTTTAAGGTGGCCTGAGCTAGTGGGTTTTTGTATTTGACCATATTTTGCATGGTACATATTTTTGTGTTAGTTGCCATTATTTTGTATATAATATGTGATGCAAGATACACTTTGTCTTCAAAAATACAGAAATACATCTTTCTAAAATAGCAACAAGCCTTTAAGCTTCACTAAGAACTCTTAATAAAGAAAATGAACAAAATATGAAGTACAGAAGTGTTTTTAATAGTCAGTTTGGTTTTTGGTTGATTACACAGCTCCATGAGTACATTTCTGTCTGTCTCTCTCAATGTCATCCTTTCAGCTTGATAATGCCGCTGGTCTGTAAAGACATGGTGGATATTCTGGACACTGGAGTGAACAGCACGAGTGCCAATCACACAAGTTTGTCCAACTTTGCTTTCTTATATGGAGTTTTCCCAACAGCCCCCAGTGTGGCCATCTATGCTGGACACTATAACATGGAGTTAGAAGTGGTATGTTCTCTTAATGTAACAATCATACTTTAAAAAGCTGTATGAAAGGAATATTACTTTTTTGTTGTTGTTGTTGAAACACAAAGAGAAGAGGACTCCCTCGTGACTAAAATGGTCCATCTTTCATGCTACTGGTAATGATGCACGATCTGATATCCTCATGTTGGTGTTGTTCCCAGATCATCATACTAAAGGTTGTTCCAGGATCAACATTGCAAGTGACCAATCAGAATGTTGTGATGTCATACTTTTGCGACTTCGGGAAAAACCGGCGTAAAACAAAAAACTGTACTTAAGCTGCGAGAAACCGCCTTTGTCCGCCGATCAACGGACCCTAACCCTGACCCTAACCCTTTAATAAACGCTAAGCAGAATTGATATTGTCCTTGCAACATTGGAATTTCATAAATGCACGAATGGGTTGGTGCGCAAAAGAATAACGTCACAATAATGTGATTGGTCACTTGCAATGTTGAACCTGGAAGAACATTTACATGATGATCTGGGAACAACACCAACACGAGGATATCAGATCATCCGGTAATGATGGCATGGAAACCCACATGGTCGACACTTAGCCAGGTATTTTAAACTTGGTTTTTACATTCTCTCACCCCCAAATCCTGTTTGTTTGGGTTTTTTTAGGTAACGTCAGGGATGGTAATCAGTACATTCTTGTCGGCACCAATTATGTATGTGTCCGCCTGGCTATTAACAATCCCTTTAATGGACCCAACCCCCTTGGTTACAGAGCTTGAAAATGTAAGCTTCAACATCAGCATTGTCAGCCTTATAGCTCTGGTAAGTGCCTTTGAATTCACCCCAGTGCTCTGGTTGGATCAGTGGGACAGGGAAGAATTTTAAAATGATAAAGAAGAAGCACAGAAATGCTTTAACAACACCTAGAGCTTAAGCACAGGAAGTTGTGGATGATAGCTGGTGTCATGATTGATTTTTCAAATATAGACATATCAAATGATTGAGTATGATTATCTTCATTCAGGTGTGGACCATAGCTGTGATGCTGCTCAGCAGGAAATTTAACAAACTCCCTCACCTATTTGCGCTAAATCTGTTCCTGGCCCAGGTCAGTCTTATTTTGAAAACATTTTTTAAAATGAGATTTCAGTGTTTAATTCAGTTGATTCATTCATGAAATGCTAATTGAGAACCTTGTATAGGTACATGTTGTACCTTAAACGCTGTACTTTTCTCTATAGTTCCTAGTGTGTGTTAGCATGATCCTGTGGAACTTCTTGGTGAAACAAGAGGACAACCTGCTCGGCAAAATTCTCACCTTCACTTTGCTCTATGGGTCTCTTTACAGTACATACATTTGGACAGGTAAGTGAATACCTGTAAGAGGTTACACTTGTTTTATGAATGAAATACCCCAAAAGTCAAATGATTTGTGTTTAGCTGGTAGATGTTGATGATTGTATTTGAATGTTTTTTCTCTTTTTCAGGTTTAATCCCTCTCTGTCTGGCTCTGACTAACAGAGATGATCTGCTGAGACTCCGACCAGGAGTCTTCATGATTTTGGGTTGGGGGTAGGCCACCACAGAGAAATGAATAAGGATATTTTAATTGACAATAGAATAAGAGAATGAAACATTTTAAAACTTTTACTGATTGAAATGTGACTTTCTTTTTCTTTGTGGAGACAAGAAAAGAAGATCATATCAGAGAATATGATCTAAAGTCTAAGTAATAACCAAATTATTCAACCTTTCTCCACGCACAGGGTTCCTTTCCTAATGGTTGGTGGTCTACTCATATCAGGAGAGAGGACTGATACGATAGACTCTGCCTTCTTCTATGGCAGAGCCCAGGTTGGAACAATACCTGCTGTAACTCTACATTACACTTTCTAAAGAGTCGTTCTGAACTCTGTTTATTTTTGTCCAGTCTTTTTCCCTTTTTTTTTTAGCTCAAGACTTTTTATTTTAAGTTCAGGTTTAATGCTGTATGTGGAGAAAACGCACTGAAATTCTTTTACCAAATTAAAGTAATATTTATAAAAAGTACACTTCAGGAATTCTAGAACAAGTTTTGTTTGGGAAGTTTAATTCATAATCTCATCAATTCTCCTCCAGATAATCAGCACTGCAGTAATTCTTGCGGTCAGCCTGGTTCTCGGTGCAATATCTTTGATGGGTCTCAGCCAGGGAGACTGGGAGCAGAGCGGCTACCAAGCCCTGAGCAGAGCTACTGTAACAGGTATCAATGATGAGGTGAGGGTCCCTGGTGGCCTGGAGGATTCACACCAACAGCAAGAGCAGACACAGATGTCAAATTCACCTGCCTGTGGTATCAACTCGGGTAACTCCATTCTTTCACTTTGTCTTTAGTTTATTCTAACTTAAACATAATCTGAGTCTGAATCTCTCTTATCTGTTGTCATCGAGTCTGTAACCAGATGATGTGCAGTAAATATGTTCATTCATTCTGTTCTGTTGCTGTGCAGACCTCCACGGTTTCTCTCCTCTCCAGCCTATACCTGATATGATAGCCAGTACACAGAGGGACCACACGAACAGCACAGGTAATAAACATACATTTCACCTCACCATTTAGCCATTCAGAGTAAATTGTGACGTTCCATTAGTTTTATTGTGAATTCTGTTATTTTAATTCTAACAATAAGTAAATGACACAAATTTAAATGTTTGTCTTCTGTGGTTGATTATTATGCATTTTTATAACTAAACCAAGTGTGTAGCCAACAGTAGCCTGTATAATCCAATAAAGATTAGGGTTTGGTTTACAACCATAAAGTTGGCTTTGTCATCTTTACTTCCTCTCTAGGCCACATTGGGGCGCTGTGTGATGGGCATCAGCAAAGTACTTCCTCCTCTGAGCAGCCGCTGAATCTTCCACCACCCGGGCTTCAAACCACAGACGATAAACAGACTGTGAGACATGTTCTGCTCTGTCTGCTGCTCATTGTCAGCCTGCTTGCAGTAAGGATGAAACACTCTTTATGATTATGTGTGAGAAAATGTGTGAATGGACTGATGCTGTAGTCATCCATATTGAAATCACCATTTATATGGACATTAGAAGTGTATGAAAATTGCCTTCAACGGTGTTATCAGTTGATGAATGAGACCTTTAAATATAATAAATCCTTTGTAGTGTCGTCTTTATCTACTTATCTATCTTGTTTATGATATAAACATCTGGATTAATATAATAGCTGTTAATAATTAGTAACCTTATGCTACGTTGGATTACATGTTTGTAAAAATGGAAAGTTGCAATGCATGCCATAACAATGTCCTGGTGCCTGATTGGTGAATGTTTCTGCCTAAATAAAGAACCTGTCCAGCTGTCTGTGGTGGTTGTTCAACAAAGATCCAGGAAGGCTCTACCTTGAACTACAGTTCTTCTGTGCTGTGGCTAACTATGGACAGGTATCTCATACATCAGCTTATTGTATATATGAAGTGTTGCGAGTAAAAAAAAAAAATACTACGTTCAGTTGTATCTACTACATTTTGTTTTCTTTTTTCCCCCCAGGGCTTTTTGTCCTTTGGGATTTTTGGTCTGGACAGACACCTAATCATCTTGCCTTTTAAGAAGAGGTGATCTGAGTCTTCATTGTGGTTTCTAAATTAATTTGTGATCAAATAAATAAAACAATACTAGAACAAGTTTTTTTTTTTTTTGTCTGCCTTTTCTTTAGATTGCTTAGCCTGTGGCAGGGCAGGGACATTGATGATTTGAGTCTCTCAGGTGTACCAGAGGAGGTCAGGCTCACCTGTACTCAGTTTGTCCGCTACCACAAAGACCAGTGTGTACAAGACATAGTACACACACGCAGGTATGAGTACTTGTTTACATGTATTTGTGTGGGGTTTTCTTTAAGGACATTTGTGTGTGTTACATAGCACAGTTTGTGTATATGATTTGTTTTTAAATCACCCCTCACATCATCTGCTTATAGAATTTATTCCCTCTAAGCAAAATATTTTTGAAGCAAACACAGAAAAAAAATTATTAGAGATCTCCGTTTTTGAGTTTGAATTCACTCTCTCTCTTTTTTTTATTGTGTTCTTGTTCAATTCTGAGCATGTCTAAATAATTACTTCTGATTTTCCAGTTTTTCTCTGAATCCTCTTTGCATGTTGCATCAGTTTCTGGGTTTCCCTCTACATCAGACTGTTATTTTTCTTAAAATCAAGTCTAACCATTTTAATTTTATACTCTGCCGTGCCTGTTTTAAAATACTGAAGATCAAATTTAGCCACCCTACTACAAAACTAAAACTGGGTGCTATCGTTCTAACACAAAATCATTTATATTATCTCTATACCTTCTCTATGCCTTATAATCCTTCCTTTGCTTTCTCTTTTATTCCTTTCATTTACCCTTCCTTTCTTTTGCCTGCCCATTCCCTCTTCTTTTCATCACCATCATCATCATCATCATAGTGGCTCAGGGGAGAGTGTGAACACTTCGACAGGTGAATCCTTCCTCTGATACTAACAGGTTTGGAGGAGGACTGGAGGATGAAAATGAAGTTCTGAGACATTCCTCAGCCCATGAACCCCTTTACCTAAACACAAATTCTAGTGATCAGGGTC